CATCTTCAGTGCCAGCTGCTTGCTCTGTGGGCAGGAGGAGCAGTTGTGTGAGGAGAGGAAAAAACAAACCCCAGGTTTACACAAAAGTGAGGCAAGACCTGGTCCTTACCGTTCTGCTCGTCCAGCTCATTCCCAATTTCCTGCCCCATTTGTTTCTGCCTGGATATGATTGAAGAAAGAGCATCGAGTCCAGCATCTTGTTCTGCACCAGGAAAATATATTAAATTACTGCTGAAATGCCAGGCTACATAAAATAGGTAGAAGTGAAGGAAAAAAACCCACTCTGTGCTTAAAGGGCTAAAATGTATTAAGAAAAACACATGAACACAACATGAAAATTATGGTAACAGTGCTCTTGAAATAACGTGAATGATGGGTAAATAATTTCTGTGCTCTGGCTGGGACATTTTGCTGAGGATACAAAAAAAAAAATCCAAGAATTTAACATTTAGCCGTTACTCAATCATAAATGCAGGGGATTTTCTGGCACGCACAGCGAGCTCCAGATTAGCCTTTTTAAATTTTCCAAGCAACTTTTAACATGAATAAAAGAAAACAGGTGATGCAAACACCAAAGAATTCCAAGAGATTTTGAAAGCTGCGAGAGGACACGGAGGGTGGGGAGAGCTGAGGGGATGAGGGCAGTGACACATGGGGCAAAAAGCACATCCCCTGGGCCCTGCAAGGAGCCCCTCAGCCCAAATGTGCAGCTCTCCCTGCCCAGAGCTGCCAGGGTGGCACTGAGAAGCTGCAAAGGGTCAGTGCCCAGGGCACAGCAGTGATGCCCAAATGGGCTGCCCAGGACACCTCCACTCCTGCAGCCTCCTTTAGCCCCAGTTTAATTAGCTATAAGGTAATTAAAAACGCAGCTGAGCCCCTCCTGGCCCATCAGAAACCCTCCTGAGCTGTTGTTCCCAGGCAGAGTGAAGCAGGCTTTTCCTGGAGAATTATTTCATTGCATCACTTCCAGGACTGGAATTGCCTGGAAATGACCTCATCAGCCACCTGACCTCCCCAGGCTGAGCTCTCCCAACACTCCCAAAGCCAGAGACTCCCCATGGGTGCAGAGGGCCAAAATCTGAAGACCGTTTTTGGATTAATTGATTTGGAGTTTCTTACCTTGTCCCACTTCAACAAGACGTTTAATGCACCCAGCAAGGCCCCTTCAGCCAGGGCAGTTATGTGATCACACAGCACACAAAACCTTAAATATGGGCAAATCAGGACCTCAGAAATTTAATTTAAGAGGTTGCATCCAGGTAAGATCATTGCAAGCACAATGCTGCCCCTGCACACACACAGAGCAGCTGCCTGGAGCTGCTGTGTTTGACATCTGTAAAGAATCAAACTTCAGCCCAGGCTGGAGTATTGAGGTCCAAATAAAAGCTCCTCTCAGAGTCCCAGAGATGCTCAAAACAACCAGAAAGGCTCTTGTACCTTCAATGATCCTTCTCTGCTGCTGCCTGAGCTCATCAAAGCCAAGTCCTCTGGTCTCCTCCGATTCTTCCAAGAGCCAGGGGTTGGTGACGCCTCGTTTGGCCCCTCCTGCCATGAGGCTGGACCTGAAAAGAGCCCAGTGAGTGATTCCCACCCTGGCTGGGTGTCTGTCCCCTGGCACACAGCACCCAGAGCCCAGTGAGTGATTCCCATCCCTGGCACACAGCAGCACCCAGGGCTGAGCCCTCTGTGCAGCCCAGCAGGGATCAGCCAGAACAATCCCCAAGAACAAATCCACTCCACAGGCTGGAAGTGGTAAGGAAGGACAGAATTCATCTTACAGGGACAAATAATTGTGTAATAAATCCACAGATTGTAAAAATAAATATAAATATATATGTATTTATGTATTTATTGTATAGATAAATATATGTATGTATTTATTGTATAAATAAATACATAAATAAATAAATAAATCCATATAAAATGCTGTTTGCATGTAGAGCACATAGCATTCCTGGGAATACACATTATTCCTGGATTTGCTACCTGATCAAAGCACATAAAATACTGCCACAGCTTCAAACAGCAACAGGATCCACTTGTTAACAGAGATGCAAATCAGATGAGAATTCCCTGCCATGCTGACCAAAGCTAAGCAGGAACATTCCTGGATTTGGGAACTGAGATGGACACAGCTCCCTCCCTGTATTTCCCAGTCTGGCACCAGCCCGAATGAGAAGCCAGGAGCACACACTCCTAAATGAAAGAGTAATTAAATAATGGGTTTTCTTTTCAAAGAATTATGACTCGAGATTGTTCACATTACAGACACCTCCCTGGTGACCATAGAAAACAAGATTTCCATGTCCAAGGAACATAAATCCAGGCAGTAAAATGAAACCCCACTGAAACATTTCTTCAGTCCCAGATTTCTGCTTTCTGCCTTCCAGCCCTTCACTGGTGTCTCCTACAGGACAAACTGCACAGCAGACTGGGAGTCCCTGACCCCAGAGCTGCAGCTTGGGTTTGGGGGGAGGCATGCTGAGGCTGCTTCCCCCAAACTGGAGGAAGCTGGAGCAATTCACAAGTTGGAGCTTTGCTTTCTGCTTTTCTTTCTTTCAACTCTGTATTTCATCCCCATTTTAGATTCTCCCTGCTCTTTCCCAAAGCACTTCCACAAACAGAAGAAATGAGAGGGATTTTAGGATCTCCGAAGTTCTCAATTATTAGACTTTGGTGTAACTAAAATAACTAATTATTATAAGAAGTAATAATTAATTATAATAACTACTATTTATACGGGTTTTATATTATTTATATATATTTATATTATTTATAAGTATTTTTAAGAATAACTAATTATCTTAGTTACACCCAGACCTAAATGAGAACGTTGCCGTTGTTTTGGTGTTTTTAATTGAGTTTTTATGGAGCTGCTCTGATCTGCCCAGTGCCCCCCTGAGCTGGGCACCCCTCTGTGGCCAAGCCCGGGGCAGGGGGACACGGGGGGGACAGAGGGGCACCGAAGGGCTCCGAGCTCCCGGGGCTCCCGCAGCCTGGCAGGGACACAAGATGGTGCTTGCTTCCCTCGCCCAGCAGCAGCAGCGAGCAGGGAGGACGCTCCGGCAGCACCATCCATCCATCCATCCACCCA